TATAAGAAGAAGATGCCATCTCTTCTGATAACCTCTCATATGGAACATTCTGTTAATTGGAAGCTCACAATTGGTGAACCTCCGTGTACTTCTATTAAGAAAGATGTTCCCTGGATATCAAACTTCACTAAAGAAGGCCTAAATAAAAAGAATTCTAAGATACATTAAGGGAACAAAAGATCTAAAATTGTGTTTTCAAGCAGATAAGCTTGAAGTTATAAGATATTTAGATGCATATTTTATTGGGGATAAGGATGATAGTAAGTCCACCTCAAGAGAAGGAAATATTTGATCCATACTTGGCTCATTGCTAGGTGCGATTTAATGCAATTGGCTTTGCTTCATTTGACACTTATGGCTTTCTTAAAAGATTAGAAAGCAGTAAAAAGAATTCTACGATACATTAAGGGAACAAAACATCTAAAATTGTGTTTTCAAGCAGATAAGTTTGAAATTATAAGATATTTAGATGCATATTTTACTAGGGATAAGGATAATAGTAAGCCCACCTCAAGACATATTTTCCTCTTTGGAGGAGCAGTTGTTTCTTGGTCTAGCAAGAAACAAGGGTGTGTAGCTAGGTACACACAAGATGCTGAATACATTGAATGTAGCACTGCTTGTACTTTTGCGTTTGGATAAAGCGCTTCATAGATAACTTGAAGCTGCAAATAATCGACAGACCGATCCAAATATTTTGTGATAATCAAGCCACAATTAAATTAATTCAAAGTGAAGAAAATAGCTCCAAATGAAGACATATAGATATCCAATATCACTACATTTATGATGTAGTTGAGAAAGGTGAAGTAATTGTTAGTTACTTGCCCTCATCAGATATGATCGCTGATCCATTAACAAAAGGTCTAAGTGTTGAACTACTGTCTAAGCACACTAGTTTAATGAGACTTAAAAATATTTAAGTCGGTCAGTTTTCATGAGTGACAAATCCGCATTAGCATGAAAATCCTCATGATAGAAGTTTGTTATAAGAGGCATATTCGCAAAAATATGAGAAAAACCTTATGACAAGATATTTGTTTAAAGGTCATACTTAAAAATAAGAGTATGCATGTGACTTATTATGCTCGGTTGTCATAGCCAAGTGGGAGATGTTGACACGTATGGCTATGAGGCCTTACGTGTCTTAGCCTACAATGTAAGAATCTAATATATCCAACGGTCATATGGTCCAACGTTCATATGATCGTAACCCATCATTTTTCTCAGAGACCCATTAGAGATTAGGGAACGCTTTTCTCCCTATAAAATGGGAAGCCAGAGAGATGATGCGTATAATAAGAAAAAGGTGTACATCTCTCCAAAAGTGAAGGGATAGAAAATTCGAACTCTGCGATCATCAGTCTCACGATACCATCTTATATATGTTTCATCAATATTTACTAACAAAAGTCCCACATGGGCGATTAGACAAAACCAAGAAGGTAATTAGATTGATTGATACCTATTCCCAAATATCATATGAGAATATTGCATCCTGAAAATCAAATAAAGGAACATGTAAGATCACATGAACAATTGAAATATCAAAATCAAATAAACACTTTGAACAAATAAACGATTGAGAGAGAAAAAATAAATAAGCGATGAGAGAGAGAGATGTTCTAGGGGGCTTACATATTATCGTTTTATGCCCAAATTTTAGGATAAATAAGAGCTTACTTAGAATACAGATATGGGAAATAGAAAGATATTCGCATAAACATATCTCCCACATTCTAAACTCAATCCAATAGACTCTATCTATCGCTATCTCTATCTCTGATTAGGATATGGAAATAAAAAATGTAGTATGTTTAGATAAAGAATGATTTTGCCCAACTTTTAAGATAAATAAGAACTTATTTAGATTAGAGATATGGGAAATAGAAACATATTCACGTAGACCTATCTCCCACATTGTAAACTCGATCCAATAGACTCTATCTATCTCGATATAGAAATAAAAATTGTAGTATGTTTAGATAAGGAGTGATTTTGCCCAACCTTTAGGATAAATAGGAGTTTACTTAGATTAGAGATATGGAAAATAAAAACATATTCACATAGACCTTTCCCACATTCTAAACTCGATCCGATAGACTCTCTCTATCTCTAATTGAGATAGAAATAAAAAATATAACATATTTAGGGTCTGTTTGATAGCATGCTAATATCCTAATATTTCAGAATAATGTAAAATATTTCATGATCTTAATTATGTTAGTTTGTATGTCATGTTTGATAGGTTCAAACTATATCTGTTAATATCCAAGTAACTCCCAAATATCAAAATCCTTAATAATTCCATTATGAGTTGAATATTTGAAGTTTCAATTTCTCTGTTTAAAATTTTTACTTCTCTCTCATCCACTTAGTCTCTCTCACAACAGAGACAACACCTCTCTCTCTGGCATGTGAGCCTAGATGGAAGAAGGCTTGTCTAGCTCTGTTTTTCATGAGCCTTAGAAGACAAATTAATTTAGAGCAGGGCCATGTGAGCAAAAGAATCCACCATTGAAGAAACTACTTAGAGCTTGAATGGCTTTGAATGGCCCTGTCTCTCCTTCTTTGTACTTTTTGAGGAACTATTTCTCTCTCTCTCACTCTAAAAAAATGGAAGACACACTTTCGTGGCTTGTAGCTGCTGGAAAACTTCGCTACATGATTGACAGAGTAGTCGGAGTTTTGGAGACAAATAAACCGGAAGCAAAGACTGTCCTTTATCAGGCAAACATCAAGCAGCGAGTGATTGACCATTCGATGACTATGTTGTTTTGTTTGTTCTACTTGTTGAGTTGCTGATTTTTGTTATTTTGTTTCAATAGAAAGTAGATGAAGAATCGGTGTTTAGGTTTTTCAAATGGTATAAAAAAGAAAAGAGGGTAAAATGGCAGAAGACAACAAGTTGCTAGATGAGGTTTATAGGGAAGGGTTTTGGTTCGTAATCTTTCTAACAAATAATTCTTTTAAGAGGTACATACTATGGATTTCGACGATCAGAGAAAATACAATAAGACAGCCAAACATGCACAAAAAAAGCACATGTCAAGATATTGTAAAATCTAAATATATAAAATGGAAGGCAGTGCCTTTATTCAAATTTTTTAGATTTTGAATATGTAAATCCTGTTTTGTCAAATATACCTTTAGGCAAGAAAAATTGTTCCATGCAAGCCGGACCGCATTTCTACAATATGCAATTCAAAGGTATAAAGCATCCATCTTTAAGATGGATGTAAATAGGTGGTCCATCTAAAAATAAGTATAACTAACTGTCCAAATGTTTTACTTATATAATTATTATTTTTAGTTTATAATTTTTTTTTTTCATATTCGTGATCTCTATATTAAAAATTAAATATTCTCTAAAAATTACGACCAAATTATTTTTAAAAAATATAAGAAATGCTGATGTAGGCCCTCTAGTTTATACCTACATATAGGCCCAATGGCCCAGATTCAATAAGAGTTGATCCAATAATCACGATTGCATTTTGTATTTAAACTTTAATTTTTTTTTATAAATCTAAATCATTTGAAATTTTGGGTGTGTGTTATTTAAAAATATTAAAATCTAATAAAAATATCAAAAAATAATTTTGTGAAAAATAAATTAACAAAATATATCTATAATATTTCAAAGGTATTTTGGTCAATTTATATTTATGAATTATTTTTTTAATATTTTTATTATGCACGTTGATGAGAAGAATTGACGGCTAAAATTTGACATGATTAAATTTATAGAAAAAAATTAAAAATAAAATACAAATAGTACGTACCAAAATTGAATCCGGCTAAAAAAATATATTTATTGCCAAGCGGCATTTCTACGGCATCCGTACCGCATGGAAACCCGGTGCTTCAGGTAAAGGATTAATTTGGCTTATTAATATAATTTAGATAGAGCCTCAATGGAGTACGGGTCCGACGGTCCTCTTCGTAGTAGGGTTTCCTATTTATTTGCTCACACGCCCGTTTCTAGGGCTTGTCGAACCCAAACCTTCCTTTTTCTATTTGCAGAGATGAGGCCGATTTTGATGAAAGGCCATGAAAGGCCCCTAACCTTCCTCAAATACAACAGAGAGGGGGACCTGCTCTTCTCCTGTGCAAAGGATCACACTCCTACTGTCTGGTTCGCTGATAATGGAGAGAGACTCGGCACTTACAAGGGCCACAATGGTGCAGTTTGGTGCTGTGACGTTTCCAGTAAGCTTCAACCATCCATATCGATGTTCTCGTTATATTATCCTTCTTTTCATTTTTTCCTTTTCTTTTTTTTGGCCCTGGCTCAATGAAGAATGTGTTTCGTGTTTCCCTTTTAGCTGGATTATCCCTAAAATACTGTTTTTAATGGTTTTTGTGGTATTGTTAAGTTAGCTCTCTGGGATTAGTTGTTCATGAAATCGCCGATTTTCTGAATTTAATCATACATTCATGTATTTTTGGAGCAGCTGATTTTTTTATAGTTTCTATAGCTTCAGAACTTCTATTGTGACATCAGTTGGTTACTTTGGAGTGCCCTTGTCATGATTACTTTAATACTCTGCTGGTGTTTCTCTAAATGGTTTGGTGGAATTGCCTTGCCTTTCGTATAGACTGGTTGTTCTCTTTGAATGGTTGGGCACTTATGGTTTCTCTTCACATACATGCAATGTTCGACTTCCAGTCTATGCCTTTTGAACTACTCACTAATCGGATCGTGTTTAATTTGGGATGTCTTGATTCTTGAGCTTTTGTGATATTTTTTACCCATGAGAGAAGGGTTCGTGATGCCTTTGATTTTCTCTAGAATGTGCATCACAATGGTGTTTCACACTCACATATTGGATTTGGTTGGAAATTCGAGATTGGAGGCAATATTTTTTTTTTTTTTTCTATTATTGAGAATAGGGGGAACTTGTTTAGGTTTCACGCTTGTTTTTTGTTGGGTCTGACCACTTTGGGGAATTTCGTATTTTGTGAACAGGGGATTCCATGCGTCTTATTACTGGCAGTGCAGACCAGACTGCAAAGTTATGGAATGTTGAGACTGGTGCTCAACTGTACTCATTTAACTTTGATTCACCAGCAAGAGCAGTAGACTTTGCGGAAGGTGATAAGCTGGCTGTAATCACAACTGATCCATTCATGGAGCTGCCCTCTGCCATCCATGTTAAACGGATTTCTAGAGACCCTAGCCAGCGTATGTATCTCTTTGTGTTGTTAAATTTATATATGTTGTGTTTATAGTCCTTTTACTTGTTATAAAAGCCTGATAATTCACTTGAAGGTCCTTTTTTTTTTATTGTTTTAATTTTGGGTTAAAGTTCTCTTTCATTTCCCCATTGCAAGTTATGTTTTTTAGTTTCAGTTTATTACATTCTCAATTATAAACTTATGAGGAATGAAAGCCTTTATTTTTGTTGTTGGGCATTTAAGATTGGTCCAATGGGTTCTTATATGTCGATTGATGAAATAAGAATAATTAGACATATATCGTTACTGAATAACGAGTGCTCTCATATCTAGTGATGAATGTATAGTAATTTTTTCAATGCATTTGGCCTCATCCTCAATCTCTGCTTTAACGCCATGAAGATTATTTCATGGAACATCAGAGGTCTGGGACACCTTTCCAAAAGAAAGGCGGTCAGAGACCTAACATAGAAACATTGGCCTTCTCTACTTGCCCTAATGGAGACCAAGCTTCCAGAACCAAATCTTTGCTTTGTTAGACAAGTCTGGGGAAGGGCGCCCTGCTAATGGTTGGCAAAATCTTCACAGGGAGCATCGGGAGGGGTTTGGTTCATTTGGAACCCACTCTCTAAAATCCTCCCTTGTAGGGGAATTTTCAGTCACTGTCTCTCTGATTCGAAACAATGACGGTCTACCATGGAAGTTCACTGCTGTATATGGCCCAAGTTCTTCCTCTGTAAGATCTCTTCTTTGAGAGGAATTGGACCGGGTAGCTATTGCACCTCATCCAATATTGTGTATAGGAGGGGATTTTAACATCACTAGATGGTCTCATGAACGGAACCACAACCCATCTATATGTCTAGTGGTATGTTTGCCTTTTTAGACTTCATCTTCAGGAATGATCTCCTGGACATTCTGCTCCAAGGAAATCGATTCACTTGATCCAGCCACTCCACTGAACCCGCCCTATCCAAACTCGACAGATTCCTCCTTTCCACCCAGTGGGATGAGAGCTTCCTTGGCTCTCATGCGGCGGCTCTCCCCAAGCATGTGTCATATCATTGCCCCATCATGATTGACACCCTTCCAACCCCCAGGGGCCCAAAGCCTTTCAGATTTGAATTGGCATGGCTCCAAGAGGAATCCTTGTCCTCACTCCTTCCTAACTGGTGGAATTCTTTGTCCAATTGGGTCGCTAGAAGAGCAGGGTACAGGTTACAATCGAAGCTCCAACTCCTCAAAGCTTCTCTTAAGGAATGGAGCAAATCAGTCCGTTGCAATTTCACACAAACTAAAAGCTCCCTCCTTAATACCATTAAGGATTTAGACATGCTAGAAGAAACTAGACCCCTTGCAGTCTCTGAAGCCTCCCAAAGGTCTTCTGCCAAACTAGAATACCAATCTGTACTTAGGAAAGAGGAAATCTATTGGTACCAGAGGTCAAGAATTAGGTGGTTGAAATGCGGTGATCTGAATACAAGCTTCTTAAGCTTCTCTTAAGGAATGGAGGAAATCGGTCTGTTGCAATTTCACACAAACTAAAAGCTCCCTCCTTAATACCATTAAGGATTTAGACACACTAGAAGAAACTAGACCCCTTGCAGTCTCTGAAGCCTACCAAAGGTCTTTTGCCAAACTAGAATACCAATCTGTACTTAGGAAAGAGGAAATCTACTGGTACCAGAGGTCAAGAACTTGGTGGTTGAAATCCGGTGAGCTGAATACAGGCTTCTTCCATAGGATCGCCAACTGTCGCAGGAGGCAGAACACAATTTTCGTCCTTAAAGATGGGGATAACTACCTCACTGAATCAGCCAGCATAGAAAGAGCAATCTTACATTATTTCCAAGTCCTTTACTCGGACCCCCAGGTCTGAAGGCCCCACATGTCTGACTTGGACTTTTTATCCCTCCTGACCGAGAAGGCGCTCTGGATAGAAAGGTCGTTCACCGAGGAGGAAATATTCAAAGCTGTCAAGGAGTTGCCCAATGATAAAGCTCTGGGGCCTGATGGCTTTTTGGTAGCTCCCTTTCAAAGATTCTGGGAATTGTTTTGGCAAGATTTCCTAAGCTTTTTTGAGGAATTTTCCACAGAGGCATCTTGCATAAAGCCCTTAATGCTACCTTTATTGCTCTAGTGCCTAAGAAAGAAGGGGCAGAGGACATTTCTGATTTCCGACCTATTAGCCTCTTAAACTCTTCATACAAAATCCTTGTCAAAGTGCTCGCCTCGTGACTATAATAGGTCCTACCATTAGTTATCTCCCAATCCCAAACGACATTCATCAAAGGAAGGCAAATACTTGACGGGCCACTGGTGGCCCATGAGTGCTTACACTCACGCCACAAATCCAAGAAACTTGGTCTGATATTTAAAATTGACTAGGAAAAGGCATACAACCATGTTGATTGGGCTATCCTTGAAGAAACCATGAAGAGAATGGGTCTCCAAGATAGATGGAGGAAGTGGATGAGAGGCTGTTACTCCCACCCTGACTTCTCCATCCTCATCAACGGAACACCAAAAGGTTTTTTCTCTTCATAGAGAGGTCTACGCCAAGGGGATCCCCTCTCCCCTTTCCAGTTTACCATCTCGGCTGAATGCTTCAGTCGCTCCCTCTCAAGACTGTACCAAGCAGGCCTTTGATCAGGCTTCCAAAGCAGTAGCCATGGCCCAGTAGTATCTCACCTGCAATATGCAAACGATATGCTGGTCTTCTTGGATGCCACTATTGAAGAGACCCAAAATCTCATGTTCTTCCTAAACTGCTTCCAAGTGGCAACAGGATTCAAAGTCAATATGAAAAAATAAAAAATGATGGGAGTTGCGATATCCCCTGCAAAAATCAAAGCTCTTATCCCTAATTGGGGATGCCCAATCAAAGAGCTTCCCACTTCCTTTTTAGGACTCCCATTGGGGCTGGGGAAGCCTAAAAAGAGGCAATGGGTACCCATCATAGATAAGGTTGACAAGCGCCTAGCAGGATGGAAAGGGAGATACCTATCAATGGTAGGACGAGCCACCCTCATCAAAGCTACCCTTGCGAACACCCCAGTATACATGATGTCCCTGTTTCAGATTCCTTGCTCTGTGATAGACCGGCTAGAACAACTAATGCAGAACTTTCTATGGTTTGGCCAGCCAGAGAAAACAAAGTACCACCTAATCCCATGGCACACTATTTGCCTTCCCAAATCTCAAGGGGGTTTAGGGATCAAAATCCTGAGATACCAAAACTTGGCGCTTGTAGGAAAGTGGTGGTGGAGGTTCACAACACAACCAGTCTTTGTGGGCACGGTTCTGCGAACCAAATATCGTACCCATAATGCCTGGCTACCAGATACCCACAAAGCTCCACATGCCTCGGGAGTATGGAACTGCCTCTCTACTGTCCCATCTTCCTTCAAAAAACATACCAGATTCCAAACCAAGGAGGGCGCAAGAATTAAATTTTGGTATGATCTTTGGATAGGACCCTCACCTCTAAAGGACTCCTACCCATCACTGTTTGCATCTGCCACTAACAACGACGCAACTATGGCGGAGGAACTGCTTGTCCTCGATGGTAGAAGGATTTGGAGTCCCACCTTCAGAAGAAGCCTCAATGAGGAGGAAACCTCATCTTTTGCCTCTCTTTTGGCCCTTCTTGATTCCTTCTTTATTCCAATACAAGGGAGGGATACTTTAATTTGGACCCCAGACCCCATTGAATATACTCTATCTCATCCTTTTATAGAAAGCTCGCCCAGCCACCTACTTACCCCCTCGACCCCAAATCAGTGCTTTCGAAGGCTTGGTCCACTATATCCCCCTCCCAAAATCCAGATGTTAAATTGGATTGCTATTACTTAGAAGGCCTTAACTGTGGACCAACTGCAAAAGTGAGGATGCCATTTGGCAAACAGATGTGTAATGTGCTAGGATGATGAAGAAACCAACCCCCATCTTTTCATTCACTGTAGCTTGGCTCATGAACTATGGTCCTTAGTACTGCAATTGTTCGGTTTGTCATGGGTCACTGGTCCATCCCTAAAAGTCCTTTACTCCCATGGACATAGCGGCTCACTGGCCGAAAGCAGGGAAGGCTTTGTGGGGGGCGACAACAGCTGCAACGATTTGGAATATCTGGAGAGAGAGAGAAACCACAGGATTTTTTAGGGACAATTCCATAGCCCCCAAGCATTGTTCCTTAATATCACGACCCAAGTAATTTTCTGGGTATCAAATCATAAATTATTCAAAGGAATTCCAAGCAAATTACTTTCACTCGCATTGGCAAAACATCCTCAGACACAGGCCCAAAAAACCAAAAAGAGCAAATAATTGGCAGCCCCCACCTGAAGGCACCATCAAGCTTAAGTTTGATGGATGCTCATTAGGTTATCCTATCCATGCAGGGGTGGGAGGGATTTTCAGAGACCATAACAGCCAGATCCTTTTTACAGTCTCTGAACACATTGGATACCAGGACTCACATTTTGCGGAAGCATCGGCCCTACTTATGGGCCTTAAATCCTTCAATACAACATGGGGCAACTACTACGGATTGAAGGAGACTCCAAAAACATGATATCTTGGGCTAATGGGACCACGCCTCCACCCTGGTATCTAACCCCTATTTTTGATGAAATTGTTCAACTATGCAGGGATATCGACGCCTCTTGGACGCATATTTGGAGGACGTCAAACGAATTTGCAGACCTACTAGTGAAAGACGGAGCTAGGAAAACTCCGTAGCTCACATGCATCACCTAAGCTACCATAGATATCTCGGGTTTTGGGCCTTAGACTATTCCAATGGCAGCTCTTTTTTGTTCGTTTATCCTTTTTGTACTCTTATTTTCTCTTCATGATGTACATGTGAAGGGCAACTTATAAGCCCGGTCTCCTTTTTTCCTCTTTTCTTTCCTGCTGGACCCTTTCTCATGGTCTTTACTGTCTTGCTCTGTAATGTAACATTTTGCTATGCAATCAAAAGTTAATAATTCTCTCAAAAAAAAAAAT